ATTTTGCCATATTTAAATTGTCTTTCAGAAAAGAGTTCCATAGCTTGGGACCTCTATAAGTTATACTATATTCTGTGTATTTGTTTACTTTTTTAGGTAATTTATATGTGTTACTTTGATTTATTCTTAAGAAATACTTCTCATTTAAATTTTTATTAAATTTACTTATGAAGATTTCAGGAGTTAGATTATTGGTATATTTATACATAAAGTTTAGGTGTTGGAAAATATTTATCTGATATAAGTTCATCATTTTCATATCCATCATTAAAGGTTTAGTGTGGTTCCCCCTTTTTTTGTTGTATATAATTCTACAAGCATGTTTTTGTAAGGAAAGAATTTTTTTAAGTATTGTTGGTGGACAACTTGCCCACGTAATATTTGCATAAGTAATGTAACAATGAATTAAGCTGAAGTATATAAGCTTTAGACTATGTGAATTTAGGTATGGGCGAGTTCGATACATAATACTAATGGTTCTACTAATTTTTGATTGTATATATTTTATGTGTTGCAGTCATGATAAATGATCATCCACAATAACTCCTAAAAACTTTATAGTTTCTTGTTTTTTAATTTGTTTATAATTTATAATAAGTTTTGGCAGTTTTAGAGGAAGGTTTTCTTGTGTTTTTTTATGAAACAAGGTATATTGAGTTTTTTCAACGTTAAGAGAAAGTTTATTTGACCTGAACCAATCATTTACTTTTTCTAATTCAATGTTCATGTCAGCATAAAGTTGATTAATATTGCAGTTAGATAAAAATAAATTTGTATCGTCTGCAAACTTGATAGCATTTAGTTTAAATGATGCATTATTAAAATAAAACATAAAAATAAGAGCGGTCCTAGGATCGATCCTTGAGGCACTCCACACAGAATATTCAGTATTCCAGATTTCTTGTTTTGAACATATTGTTTTCTATTAGATAGATAACTTTTTATCTAATGATATAATTTATTGCATACCCCGTACGATTTTATTTTTTTACAAGTTAAAAGTTGCATAACTAAAAATTGATATATGCAATCGTTCTTTCATTTTTTATATAATAAACATTTTTATTCCTAAAAATATTTGTAAAATAATTTCACCAATTTATCGGTATATTTTCAGTAAAAATTTGACCCTATAAAATATGATTAATATTTTCATATTAGAACTGATCATATGAGTCCCTTAAAGTCGTTGAAAACTTTTGCAACAAAGTTTCATTTCTACATTCTAAATTTAAGTTTAATTTTGATTAGAAAAAACTTCCATTTTTGACTCCCGCCTTAAAATGCTCGACCGCTAAGAGGGCCATAAAGTACGCACGCATTAGCATTATAGGCCGGGTTAATAAAAAAAAGCAATTGCTTTTACTCAGTAATTGATCAGCTTTACGTAAAAAAAAAATTTTTGTAATTTTCCTTAAGTTTTTATTCACGTAAAGCTGAGCAATTACTGAGTATATTGCTTAACTTTACCTTTAAAAACAATTTGTGCTAAACTGTTGAAGTTTTTATTCACGTAAAACTGACCAATTAATAAGTAATAGCAATTGCTTTTTTTTTTTTATTCACCCTGCCTTATAAGTGGAATTAAACTATTCGGTAATTTGACAATTCTTTGTTACATGAAAATTGTTTTTTTAAACACGTGAAATTCAATGCTTTTTTCTTAAAAAAAAAATCACGTGGGAGAGATAGAGAACAAGAGATAAAGGTGCGTAAACATAAACAAAAGATACAGGGTTCCTTTGCAAAGCTGCTGAGCAAAGAAATAATGAACAAAATGCAAGTGAACGCATATGCTATTTAGGTTGAATAGTCAAACAGGAATTAGTTTATGAATCTAGCGCTAACCCTGACTAG